CCTCACTCTGTTTCCAACCCTAAGTGCCTCACCTGGAAGGTGAGGCCCTCGGAGCCATGGGCCTGGAAATAGAGGTGGGAGGGGAACAGCTCCAGGAAGCAGTCGCTGATGTCCTATGGAGCGGGGAGCGGGGCCATCAGCCGGAGGGCTTGGGGATCAGGCCCCAGGCTGGCAGGGCGCTTGTCCCCTGGCACGCCCCACCTGGCCCGGCCCCTACCTGGCTGTGCTGGAACCGCAGCTGGACCTTGGCATAGTGCACCACCTTGCCCAGGTTCCGCACGGGCACCCTCCGCCGCCCTTTCTTGAACACACTCAGGAACGGCTGCTCCAGATTTTCTCGCTGACTCTCCAGGCCTGGGATGTCCTGGGGAGAGCCGAGCTCAGGGGAGGGGGCCTGGCCTGGGGCTGGCGGCCCCAGCCAATGTCTACACAGCCAGATGCCAGCCCATGTGTGCACACACACACGCTTCCCTGCAGCAGAGCTACCGGGTTAGCAGCAGAGGCTGTGAAGTTGGGACCCAGTGGAGCCAGCCTTATCATCACTGTTCCTTAAGCTGTGTGACCTTGTTCTGGCTACTCAACCTCCCAAGACTTGCCGAGAGCTTGGGGTGTCTAGGTGAGACAACGTTCAAAACCCTCTCGTGTCTCCGGTATCAGATCTCCGGTAAACAAATGTTTAACACCTGGTTCTACAAAAAACAAAAACACAACACCACAAGCCAAGGCCCTGATTTGTAACACGGGCCAATCTCCTTGGTGTAAATATTCCCAGCACAGCTCCTTTCGAGCTCAGCATGAACATAGAGATGTGAGGAGGCAGGTGGGGTTGGCTCTCCTGGACCCATGCCAGCCACTCCCGCACACCTCTGCCGGCCCTGGCAGTGCCCTCAGGGTCGCTATGACCTGTGCAACCCCCCCCCCCCGGCTTCCTGCCCGTCCCTCTTTCTGGAGCGCTCAGCTCTAACTCCCTCCTTCACGCCTGCAGAGCTATGCTCAAATATCCCCTTCTCTGTGAGGTCCCTGCTGGGAGGACTTCCAAAATCCTAGCCTTCCCTAAGCCTCTGCATCCCTCCCCCTCTTACTTTTCTCCTCAGCACTAACCATGGTCTGGCTCACTGTGTCTTTCACTTTTCACCTTGTCTTCTGTCTCTGCTGTGGGAAGGGGATCACATGAGAACGGGGGTTTCTGTCTCGCTCACTGCTGTGTCCCAGGGCCTAGGACAAGGCCTGAGATGTGCTGGGAGGGAGGGAGGGCCGGTGTCTTCCATACCACCATTTACCAATCTGGCATACACAGTCTTTCGTACACAGGGGCTTTGATCATCAGATTAGGGCTCAGATAGGGGATGAATGCTGGCTTGGGGCTGGAGAGGTCTGTGGCCTGAAGGCTCAGGGGCAAGTTGGGTGGGGGTCACATTCCCTTTGGCAGTGGCCACCTGTGTGGGCTGCTGTGAACAGCCCCTTGGGCAAGCCCAGGAATGTGAACAGACAGACGCACAGCTTCCCCGGCCTTCCTGCCTCTGGGCGGGGCCTCCTGCACCCACACCTAGTGTGGGAACTGACGCCAGAATGGCACCCATGAAAAAAATGCCACAAACCAGTAAGGGTCATGCAGCTGGCCCCACAGCCCACTCAGCCTTGGGGCCCAGGGAAGGGCTCCACTTGGAGCCGTGGCAGGACCGGCCTGTGGCATGGGTGCAGAACTGACAGCAGAGTTCGGGCAGGACCCTGGGCACTGGCTCTGGACACCCGGTGCTCCTCCCCCAGAGCACCTGCTGCAGCCTCCCCTCCTGAGGTGCACTGGGCTCTGCTCCCCCTCTTCCCTCTGTCCTAGCACCCCGTGGGACCCCACCCAGCTCACATGATGTTCTGGGCCTGGACAGAGAAGTGGGATCTGAGATGTGGCTACAGCAGGGACTCCCTCCCCTGCCGGCACCTCTCCCTGTCCACTTCTCAGAGGCAGCCTGGTTTCTAGGAGGCAGCGCCTGCCTGCAGGAGCTCCAGGACTGCAAAGGACAGGGATGGCACGGGCTTCCTGCCCGATGCTGTATGTTGGGAAGGAGGTCCGGATGACCAGCCAGTTGCCCGACACAGTTGTCCTGACCCCCGTCCCAGAGTCTCCAGGGTCCTCTCCCCCAGAGACTCCTGGGGCCTCTGCGAGGAGCTGAGCCCACCCACCCAGGCGCACGGTGCCCAGGAGAGGCTGCAGTGGGGACTCCTGTCAGTCCCGCAGCCAGGTCCCTCCTGTTCTCCAACACGAGGCCTGCTGTCGGGGGCGGGCTGGTGTGGCCACCCTTGACTGTCACTTAGTTCCACAAGAGCAAAGCCAGGTGGTGAGAGGGTGGCCTAGCATGTGGTGGAAGTCACTTCCCTGATGTGTGGCCCGGCAGGACTACGGAGAGTGACAGGGAGTCCTAAGGGCAGAGACCACCACACACGGGGGCAGCTCTCTAGACACCCCGGGGAAACTAAGGCCATTGTAGGTGACAGGCTGGCCCACTGTTCCCCCACCCCCTTGCTCTCAAGTGACCTCCCCACGTTCCCCCACCCCCTTGCTCTCAAGGGACCTCCCCACGTGCCCCACTGCAGCGACAGAGAGGCACCGCCAGGACCCCCGCGCTGTTCTGCGGGAGGAAGGGGCGGGCCAGGGAAGGTGCTCCCGGAGGCCGCGCCCGCGCCCGCCCGCCCTGACTCAGCTGGGTCCCGGTTTCGCTCTGCGCTCAGACTTTCGGCTCGGATGAGCTGCAGGGCGGGGCAGCGTCTGCTTCCTCATCGGCGCGGGGTGTGAGCCCCCTGGGCCGAGGGGGGCGACCCCAAGTACGCGAGCCGCCACACGCGCCGTCACGCATATGCGGGCACACACAGCCACAGGAGTGGGCACGGCCGGGACTGCCGTGCCAGGACACGCGGGGCGCCCGCTGCGCTCACCGTCCCGGGGATGAAGTGGAAGAGCCTGCTGTCGGTGGCGGCGTCCCCATCGGCGGCAGCTTCTGTGCCAAACAGGCCTGCCCGCTTTCTCGCGCTGTCCTCTCTGGGGACAAGGGGACAGGGCTCACACCTGGTCCCGGAGGCCGGCGGAGGGACCCCTGTGCCCAGTGTCCGCCTCACCTATTGCCCTTCAGCGAGGGCTTCCTGGAGAAGGAGGCCCGGAGCCTCCTGGGGGCCTGCGGGACGCACTGGCTGTTCCCCATGGGCGGTGGCGGCGGTGGCCTGAGCCTGGCAGGTCGACGCGACGACGCGTCTGGGCCTCTGAGCCTCCGGCCCGGCTCCCGGGAAGCCGGTGGGCGGGGCTCCGGGCGTCCTGCCCCGAATCCAGGGCCGGCTGAGGGCGGAGCCTTTCTGGGAGGGCCCCAAGCCCCACCTGGGCCTTCCTGCCCTCCGCCAGGGCCCTCCAGGTTGCAGCCGGCTTTGAGGAGAGGGCCCTCTGACCTGGACGGGAGCCCCCGTCTGTGCAGGACGGGCTGCGAAAACCTGTCTGGGAGCACCCCGGGAACCGCAGACCCCTCCCAGCTGCTCCCTCTCCCTGGGAGCACACATCCTGCTTCCACCTAAACCCCCTGAGTCACCGGTGACTAGCCAGCACGCTCCGCTGAGCCGGACTTAGTGACGTCGGGGAAGGGGCAGTGTCTCCTGCCCGGATTCCATCACCCCAGGCCCGAGTCAGGGTCCCCAAGGCTTGGGGCGGCTCAGGAGGGAGACGGCAGCCTCCCAGGTGCCAAGGACGCTCATGGTGAGAAGAGGGAGCACGCTGTCCTCCCCACGCGCCCCACCCGCGCAGCCCCGGGGGCTGGAGGGGAGGGCTCAGGCCCCAGCTGGCGCACTCACGGTTGGGGGCTGGTCCACACCACAGTCCCTGTCCCACCTGGACGCAGAGGCGCTGCCTGGCAGACGCCGGCCACCAGCGCAGCTCTCGGGCGGCAGCACACCTGCCCGCAGGCCCGCCCTGCAGCCCCAGACAAGACTCGAGGCTGCGCCGCACCCCCCCTCCCCAAGGCCTAAGGGCCAGAGAGGGACGCCCAGCGGCAGGCCCACGGAGCGCAGGAAACACGTTTATTGTCGAAACGGGCTCATATTGCTGTGTGGGTCGGTGTGCACAAGTGTGCGCTCGGTACGAGATCCAAGGAAGACGGCAGGCCGCAGGCGGGGACGCCAGAGAAAGCTGCCCTG